CCAAAGTTAGTTTCAGTGCGTTCGCCGAGGTCTTCGTAGGATTCTTGTAGCTAGTCCAAGACAGAGAAAAAAAAGATGGGATATGAAGATTTGAGAGATGGACGTACCCTTAGTGAAAGCAGATCTAAGTTATGCAAAACTCATCAGAATAAGGAGTTTCAGATAAACTGCTAAAGCCATCGTGAAGGGCAGTGTTCCCTTGACATTTCGTTTTCTAATTTCACCTTTTCGGAGCCTCATCGCCATGCTAAAACCATATTCTGAACTTTGCAGCGCATATAAATGGCGATTAGCTTTTTTGAGGCTTTCCATGCTTGCGTTCGCTAGATCTTACGTGTAAGTGGGGTCCGGGAAAAGGGGAGGGGTCCGGAAGACTTTCGGAGTAGATTTCAGATTTCCCAGAAGCTCTTTTTCGCTCCATACTTCACTGACAGGTTGATTGGGGATCTGCCACTACAAGGCTGTAGAATGCCGATACCCACCGATTCAAGAGGACGCTGCCGTTAAAAATCACGATAATCCTGCAATTCACACAACTCGAGCAAAATTTATTCTTTTGAAAAGACGAATATACATGTGCTGACTGACCCTCAATATTTTTAATATCACAATTATCTATACCACAGAATGAACAAATTTGCATATGAAGAAAGAATTTTCACAGCTCAGCGCAAAATCAACAAAGAGGTAAGGGGAAATGTGATAAGTGGACAATATGTGATGTTCTACCCTTAGATTTTGAGTTAATGTAAAGTTTTAGGAACCGCGGTGTGCAAAAGCTTGTTAAGTGAATGTTTGGAAATATGACTGTCACATAGAATCAATCCTGTATATAATTCAAACTATGTTATTTGCAGGATTTTGGGACGTCTCCTTCTCTAATGATGCCATTTCTTTGATGACATCCTCTAAAGGCATTCGATGGATGGGATCCACAACTAGAAGGCGCCTCATTACGATAGTTAACCGCTTGTCGTATCTGAGATTAGAGGTACTAATGTACGGCATGAAATAATTAGAGACAACTCACAATCCCGTATCAGGATACTGTATCTTTTCGGGACTTTGGGCAGCCAGTGCAACGCTGTTGCCCTTTTCGTAGACGAGATCGAATGGTGAAACGAAGTAACAAAGAGCATAAAGACAACAACCGAGAGACTAAACGATTCTCGTTCGATATGATGAACTAAAGATTTGGCAACTCACCCAATAGTCGGCTTTCTCACTGATTACTGTTCCAATGTGACAATCAAAAAGCTCCGGAGCTCGGTACGGCATCGAACATAGCTCAGCTGCTTCATCAATCGCATGCTGCTGGTCGCGAGCGTTATCTATCCGGATTGGGATTCTGAAAAATGGAATGAGAAAAGATTTTGGAACTATCATGGAGAGTCCTTTATCTGGCTGAGACACGAAGGCAGCGTTCGGGCAGATACGAAACTGTAGAGTACGGGCGCCCGTCCTAATAAGGCTCTTATCCAAATGGCATGCACAATTTACTACTGAAGGGAGTAAACCGCTTCAGCATTGGTGACCAGAACGCCCCCACGACCGGAACGAGTTAGTTGATAAGCCAGAGTACCAGACATGTTTTGGTGGAAGCCGATTCTCCTACTACCTTCACTTTTT